ACTTCTAAAGTCAGAACCAGGATTCTGGGCTGCACCCTCCTGAGGAGTCCAGGTGTGCAAGGGAGAAGCCAGAGGGCTGCATGGTGCTGGAGCAGCATGGAAGCTGTGAAAAGGTGCTAACCGAGGTACAGTGTTTGTGCACAAATACAGGGGAGCTATTATATGCTGAAGAGGACCAAGTCACAAAGCCTAAGCAGCGTTGCTGCTAAAGAAAGCCAGGAGGCTGAACCTTACTTTCTTTTGTATGGATGGTGGATACCCCTGCATGGGCAACTGTTCTGTTGTTGAACGTTTCCTTTTCTCTTTAATAAAAGTGGGCCAACAGGCCTCAAATGATCATTTTTGGCGTGGACTCCATTGTATATTTCTTGGGGACTTGAATTTACCATTACAAGGGATGTCTCATTCTACTTGTTGAAATAAACCACTAGCATTTATCTATAATATTATCAGTAATGAAAGTACTAAACCTTTAAAGCCTCTAAACCTAAATCTAAATTACATTATTAATTAATTATTAAAAATTAAATAATGCTACCTTTTAATGGTTGTTTTATTATTTTTTTTACAACATTGATGCTATGTGTTATTTTTACCAGACAGACTGGTTAAATATTTATTCTAGTTAAGAAAAGAAAATGAATTCAATGGTATATCATTAAAAATAGCCTAGCATGTCATAAATAACAGTGTAGTCCAATTTAAATCTTCTGCAGCTTTTTAAGGACATGTATTTATATTTTACACCACTCTGACTCCCTATTAAGTATTCCTAATCTTGCATACAATAAGATGTTTATATTGTGTTATACTTCACCAGTGGTGTGAGACCCGTGTGTGGCAATAGATGCCCTTTATGTCATTTTGCCCATAATGCATAAAAAGGCTCAGTGTTCATCTGTGAAACTGACAGACTCTTAATAATACGTGACACTGTTTTGGGGGGGAAGGGGGGGGGGATCAGATATAAGGAGCTTGTGTTTGATATGTAGCCCATAATAACTGGAACTTGTTGACAATGCTGTGACACTTGTCAATTACCAGCTGGCAGAAAATGCAGATCACATGCATAATTCATTAAAACTGTACCCTTTGTTGTCATGCTGTCTGATGTAGATTTACAGCGTAATCGAGCCGTGCCTTTTTTTTTTTTTAAATATATATATGGAAACATATTTTAATTAACCCACAGACTCTTCTCAATGTCAAACATAAACCTAGATGTGCGCTGTAATGCGATTGCTTGACTTAAAGCCTTTAGCTTTATGAAAATGCGTGAAAATATGGTTAGATGTAAAAGGTGTAAGATGTATTAGGTAAGTTCCATAAAAAAATGAGGTTTGTGCATATATATTTAGGCGTAAAAAAAGGGGCATATTCTATATTGTGCTCTAAAAGTAGAAGTCACTGACCTGGTACTGTAGTTGGGTAACACTGGTATGTGTTCTGCAGCAAGCATACTACATAAAATAATTTTTCCCCTTTAATATGTCCTGGAGGCATCTGGTCCTGTGTTCTTTCTAACCTATGCAATAGACACACAAACAGCATATGCTATTGGCTATTTGATGTCACTGTTAATTAACACTAAATTCTTATGGGGAGCTATTTTATAGACCCCCCCCCCACCCCTTACCCCCTTCTTCCTGAAGTCACCCTGCTTGTTTTGTTTTTTTTAATAAAAAGCTATTTAGACATACTTTACATTTTCTGGCAGGTCCCATATTGTCATGGATCCTTCCTCTTCTCCTCTGGCAGCAGTACTTGGCAGTCTTTACCCCTCAATATGTGAATGCTGCACTGCCTAGGAGTACTATTGTGAGTTTAGGCATGAATGTCTCCTGGCTCACAGGAGGTGGGTTGGTTGGACTTTGCATGGACAGCTTGGCCTGTATGGGAATTCAGAGGAAAATATGAAGATATGTAAATTAAAAATAGTAATTCATAAACTGGATACTATTGACACGTGTTGTTTGCATGATGTTGTGAGAAGACAGTATTTTTGGTGATAGTGGTTCTTTAGGAATTAGCACTCTTTATTGATAACTAGGAATTATGTGCCTGTTTAAGACTTACCATAAAAATTCGCCAGCACACCATGGAGCCACGCAGGACCCCTTCGTCAGGCATGTGCTGACAAAGGGGTCCTGCGTGGATCCTAAACGTTGCACTACACTGTTTTGATATGCAATCTTTCCACAATAAAAACTGTTTGGACTTGATTGAAGATCTGTGGTGTGCTGAAAAATAATTACATTGTTTTGTGTATGCTCCAGTATGCACCTGGTGGTCGCTGCAGAACTTGGTACTTTGGAGAGCCAGAGAGAGAAAATATGGAGTGTTTTTCAAGAGTTAAGCCTCAATGTTTTGTGTCCTCTTTGTGATTCATATCACAGTGGTATTCATTATTGTTCTGTCTGACAGTGTTTAGGCTGGAGATGTTTTGTATTGAATTTATTCATGATGAGGAGAACAGAATAGTCATGGCTGGACTGAAAGTAGAGATGAGCGATTACAAAAAAATATTGCTACCAGGTTTTGTGACATCTCAGAGGTGCAATGAAAAACTGTGGAAGGGTTCACATTCTGCTGCATTCATTCTTGGTGGCAATGTCTCCAACTATGAAACAGACAACATACACTATATTGCCAAAAAGTATTGGGACGCCTTCCTTTACACACACACATGAACTTTAATGGCATCCCACTTAGTCCGTAGGGTTCAATGTTGAGTTGGCCCACCCTTTGCAGTTGTAACAGCTTCAACTCTTCTGGGAAGGCTGTCCACAAGGTTTAGAAGTGTGTCTATGGGAATGTTTGACCATTCTTCCAGCAGCGCATTTTTTTGAGGTCAGGGACTGATGTCGGACGAGAAGGCCTGGCTCGCAGTCTTGCTGTAATTCATTCCAAAGTTATTCTATCTGGTTGAGGTCAGGAGGCCAGTCAAGTTCCTCCACCCCAAACTCTCTAATCCATGTCTTTATGGACTTTGCTTTGCACACTGTTTCGCAGTCATATTGGAACAGGAAGGGGCCATCCCCAAACTGTTTCCACAAAGTTGGGAGCATGAAATTGTTCAAAATGTCTTGGTATGCTGATGCTTTAAGAGTTCCCTTCACCGGAACTAAGGGACCAAGTCCAACCCCTAAAAAACAACCGCACACCATAATCCCCCCTCCACCAAACTTTACACTTGGCACAAAGCAGTTAAGCAAGTACCATTCTCCTGGCAACTGCGAACCCCAGGTACATGCATTGGATTGCCAGACAGGGAAGCATGATTCGTCACTCCAGAGAACACATCTCCACTGCTCTAGAGTCCAGTGGCGGTGTGCTTTACACCACTGCATCCGACGCTTTGCATTGCACTTAGTGATTTAAGGCTTGTATGCAGCTGCTTGGCCATGGAAACCCATTTCATGAAGCTCTGTCTGCACTGTTGTGCTAATCTGAAGGGGACATGAAGTTTGGAGGTCTTTAGCTACTGACTCTTTAGCGAGTTCTGCGCACTGTGCGCTTCAGCATGTGCTGACCCCGCTCTATCATTTTACGTGGCCTACCACTTTGTGGCTAAATTGCTGTTGTTCCCAGTTGCTTCCACTTTGTTATAATACCACTAACATTTGACCGTGGAATATTTAGTAGCAAGGAAATTTCACAGATGGACTTATTGGTGGCAACCTATCACAGTACCACGTTTGAATTCACTGAGCTCCTGAGAGCGACCCATTCTTTCACAAATATTTGTAGAAGCAGTCTGCATGCCTAGGTGCTTGATTTTATACATCTGTGTCCATGGAGGTGATTGGAACACCTGAATCCAATGATTTGGAGGGCTGGCTCAATACTTTTGGCAAAATAGTGTATCGTCTGTGAGCTGCTGATCAGAGCTGGAACTCCCACCTGCGGTAAGCAGCTTATCATGGCTCTGCTGTATGGCAGAATCTATTATGCTACATTGCAGAATCTGTGTGTGTGTGTGTGTATGTATATATATATATATATATATATATATGTGTGTATGTGTGTATATATATATATATATATATATATATATATATATATATATATTAATATGAAATTTAAATATACAGTATAATGATAGAATGGGTAATAATAATATGTCACATTTATAAATGTACTGCTGAGAGTTAATCAATTTAGGGAAACCATAGCTCAAGATCAGATGGGAACATTGACCCTAGGCCCGTGGCTGGAACTTACACTGTACAAGCACTTTTTTGCAAATATAAAAGAGAAAAGCAAGTAAACAGATACAGTCATTGCAAATTGGACAGCCTAAAAACAGAGATCCAAACCAGCTGTACCATAGCTGTAGGGGAAGCAGCTGTGACTGGGTCCGTCTTCCTTGGGGATGTGCAAGTCTCCTCACCCATGTGGTCTTTCTGTTCCTGCTGAGAACCAAGACAGCCATGTGCAGAATAAATAATATTAATTCAGGACACTTTAATAAAAAAAAAAACTGTTTTCTTCTTCCCCTGGGAAGGATAGAGAAAGAAAGCGTATATGAGCCATATAAGTTACTGAAGTGTATATAATGTAATGTATATTATGTATGTTCAAAGTATGGACATGTCGGTTGTACTATCCTTCTAGTGTGAAGGTGTTAAGTGACAACGCTTTCAATAAATAAAGGCTCATCATTCATATCAGTCCTGCTTCATACCTCCCAACAGTCCCAGATTCTGCAGGACTGCCCTGGATTTTGCCATTAAACCCACAGATCCACACAGCTGAGCATTATCCACCATTTCCCCCAAGGGCTGTGCATGGTTCATGCATTCTCCTGCACAGGAAGATGAAGGGCAAGAGAAATTACAGGCAACGAGAATTAGCAGCCAATCCTGCCATTGTAACGTTACCAATCAATGGTCCTGGAACTGCAGCCAATCAGAAATTTCTGCTACTGCCATGTGACAGTGCTAGACCTATCCTGACTTGTTGCAGTTCCAGAACTGCTGAATGGTTTCATGATGGAGCTTATTTACTGAACTGTAGGACCAGGGGCGGACTGACCATTTGGAAACTCTGGCACTGCCCGAGGGCCCGGGGTCAGTAGGGGGCCCCATGAGATGCCCTTGGTACCTTTTTTATAGGCTTTTTTGAGTTTGGGCAAGGACACAGGGGCCCCATGATCCCCTATTGCCCGGGGGCCCCATGAGTTGTCAGTCGGCCCCTGTGTAGGACTGGCTGCTGTGTATCTGCTTTGAAGGGGGAGCACTTGATGGGAAAGGGGGCTCCTAATATAAAGGGGACTCTTGATGTAAGAGGAGACTCCAGATTTAAAGGGAGACTTCTAATTTAAATAGGGACTACTGATGTGAAGGGGGAACTCCTAATGTAAAGGGAACCCCTGGTGTAAAGGGGGACTCTGATGTCAAAGGGGAAACTCCTGATATGAAGGGAGGGACTCTGACATAAAGGGGGACTTCTGATGTGAAGGGGGACTTTGTATACTTTGTTTAATATTAGCAACAATCCCCTGACTGTATCTATGTGTACACATATAGCCATATTTGTTATTTGTTTTTTTTTTCCTGCTTAGGTTGATGTAGGTGAGTCTCTCTCACTCATGGCACAGTAATTATGGAGTATGTTGTGGATACAAGGACTGCAGTGTACAGTGTATACTGTATGTTGGCTTAAAGTGATTTTAACGGCAACTTAACATAAAAAAAAGATGTTATACTTGCCTGCTCTGTGCAATGATATTGCAAAGAGCCATCCCTTACCTCCTCCAAGCGGTCCCCCACTGGTGCTGTCAGCTCCTTCTTCCTTTGGGTGCCCCTATAGCAAGCTGTGTGCTCTGAGGGCATGCTACTGAGTCGGGCTGTGTGTGCCTATAGACACATCAAGGTAAAAAAATGTTTTGACATTATAACCACTTTAAACTCTAACAATGCTCCTTTTAAGCCATGCCCAATGTTCAACATGTTAGCCACATCCATAGCAGTGTGCTTCGCGTGTCTTCACTGTTCCTAGGTGTTTCCCATTTTCAAGTTCCAAGGTTGGAAAAAAAGGCTCCATTGCAGCTAGCCTTCACCCTAAGGGCCCTTTCACACTGATGTGTTTTTTTCTGCAATTTTACTCTGCTAAAAGTGCAAGGAAAACCCAATAAAATATTTGCCTTTAAATCCTGTGGAACTCTTCACACCAGTGCGCTGCGGGTGTGGTGCATTTTTAAATGTCCTGCGTGCTGTAACCTTTGTGCTCCAGTGCGCTAAAAACACCCCTCCTGTTGAAATCAATGTAAAACACACCAAAAAAGTAGTAAAAATGTACCGTGTTTGCTTCTTTGGTGCAATTTTTAAGTCACACGACCATGTTTCACAGGTGCATGCTGGGAGACAGGCAAACAGAAAACGCATAAAAAAACACATATGCACTTTTACTGCGTTTTTTCAGGGGAGCAGTTTGAAGGGCCAAAAGTACATGGAGGATGAACAATCTGTCCTACCTGTGCGAATATCAGTGAACCCTGGAGACCCAAATTCTTAGGTGTGTGGCTCAGGGCTGTAGAGATCTCTCTCATTACACTGTTGTATTCTGAAAATGGGGACTCAGAATACACAGATCAGCACTACAGCCATTGGCTGGTTTTCCAGTAGGACTGTATGACAGAAGCTGCTCATTAGGCTTCTGTTGAGCAGTACACATGTACCAAAATTAGACCGATTCACAGCTTTACATGAAGTAAGCATATGTTCCCAGCCTGTGACTGGACAATGAAGGAGCAGCAGTGCACTGATCAGGTCAATCCTCTGCATTCCCCTTCCATAAGCATTCAGGAAGGGAGACTGACCTCTCTGTGCAATGTGGAGGATCTTTATTAACCACTTGAATGACGGCTACAGCGCGGTTGTTCAGTTCTAGGAGGGCGTCATATGACGTCCTCCCAGAACGCGCCCTCGGCGATCTCTGTGATTGCTGTGTCCTACGGACACAGCTGATCACGTGATGTGCTAAAAGGCCAAACACAGCGGCCTTTTACCACGTGATCAGCTGTGTCCAATGACACAGCAGATCATCGTGTAAATACAGTTGCCAGTTATCGCTGTCTCAGCATGAGAAAAGTACTGCCGATAACCGGCAATTGTCAGAGGATGGATTTGCACCGATCATCAGGGCACTGATGATCAGTGCTCTGATGATCAGTGCCCAGCAGTACCACCCACCAGTGCTGCTCACCTGTGCCAGCAGTGCTGCCCACAAGTGCCCATCAGTGCCACCCACCTGTGTCCATCAGTGCCTTGTAGTGCCCCCCATCAGTGCTGCCCAGCAGTGCCGCCTATCAGTGCCCAGCAGTGCTGCCTATCCGTGCCCAGCAGTGCCGCCTATCAATGCCCATCATTGTTGCGTATCAGTGCTGCCTCATCAGTGCCTTCTATCAGTGCCCATAAGTGCTGCCTATCCATGCCACCTCATCAGTGCTGCCTATCAGTGCCCATCAGTGCTGCTCAATCAATGCACATCACTGAAGGAGAAAAATTACCTGTTTGCAAATATTTTTAATAGAAACAAAGAAAAACATTTTTTTTTTCAAATTTTTTGTGCTTTTTTTTGTTTATAGCACAAAAAATAAAACACCCAGCAGCGATTACATACCACCAAAAGAAAGCTCTATTTGTGTGAAAAAAATTATACAAATTTCATATGAGTACAGTGTTGCATAACCGCGCAATTGTCATTCAATGTGAAACAGCACTGAAAGCTGAAAATTGGCCTGGGCACGAAGGGGATATAAGTGCCTGGTAGACAAGTGGTTAAACCCTGTTGTGCTGGGGATCACAGAAAGCTGACAACAGATTCAGGTATATCTGGTATTTTTTTGTAAAATATATAAAGCTGAAATCCAGCCTTGCCTTCAGTCTTGCACAGTTGTACAGGCTTCTGTTCCTTTTTTGAAGGAATACAGGGCATTCTCTGATTGGGCAAGGTGAAGATCATAGCACAACCACCCCTTCTCTCTACCCCCAAAGATTGCTGTTCTGTTCCACTTTTTTTGTCATTTTTCTTTGTTGTATTGAACTGCATAAGGTTATTATTTATATGTATTATGCTGACATCTAGTGGCAGTTTCGGGCCACTACACCTTGTTTACTAATGTGATGTTTATAATTTTCCTCTGTTCTCCCTTCCTGTTTAGTGCTAGTTAGTTTTGTCCTAGCTAGACCCTCCTACTTCTTCCGTGTTCCCTCAGTCATTGTTAGTTTTTTGCAGAGAAAGGGCTTACACTTAAAAAGACTGAAATAACCCTCCTCTGAAATAATATCTCATGTACTGCAATTAACTGAAGTAAAACTGTATTGAATTCAATGTCTGTGTCTTATTTAAGAGTTAAGCTGCCTGTGGATGGTGCTTAGTCAGTAGGTGACCATACTGTCCAGAAAGATTGGATCTTGGAGGTATATCAAAGAATAAGATGGCGTTTGAAAGAGAACAATTGCAGGTATCACTGTAGTAGTGAGGTTGATTTCCAGACATCCCAGGAGTTTACCTTTAACCAGTGAAACAATGTGGTCCTTTTCACTTTCATTGTCTTTAACTTAGAAATAGAACATATATAAACTCTGCAGATTTGGTCAGGCTGTGCTAAACACAGCTAGAAAGTGACAGGAGTTTAGTCAGGAGTGTATTTACCACAAGGCAAACAAGGTATTTGCCTAGGGCGGCATTTTTCAGGGGGGCAGCACTGCCCCTTGGACGAAGGCAGAGAAGAAGGGACACACTCAGCATGGGGACCTGGTGGGTTCCGAGAAAGGTTGCGGGTTTCATGACGGTGTATGCACAGCCCGACTCTTGTTCCTGGGGATGTCTGGAGCTGTTAAAGTGAGTGTCTCTCTCTAGCTATGGGGGATGGTGGCTGGTGTTGGAGGGCAGTGGTATTGGAAGGATCTCTCTGGTAGGGGGCAGGGGTGTTGTTGGTCAATGTCAGGTTCTCTCTGCAGAGGGGGGTGCCGATTTTTGTGTTGCCTAGGGCAGCGCAAAACCTAAATACACCACTGAGTTTAGTGTGTATGTCAGTACAGAGTTTACCGCATTTGCTATGGGAATATAATGTAAAACACATTGACTTATTTTAAAATTATATTTATTATTTCTTTTTAGCAAGTGACACGTGGATACATCAAAGCAGCATTTTGTAGAACCAAATCATAATTTGCCATGTGAAAGTTTATTGTTTCTGGGTAATGTGTTTGCGCTCACGTAATTAACTATTATTACATCCTGGGGGGATTGATTATGAGTATTATCTTTCACTTGAGGGAGAATAACATTTCAAAAATGTAAATAGGCAATTTGTAAATATCTGTTTACACAAAAATAGCATTCAAAAATGTAAAACTAGCATTTGAATCTATTTTATATAATAAAGAGATCTAGTGCAAATCTAGTGGGCTGGGAAGGTGAGACAAAACTGACAATTATGTTGATGACTTAAAGAGTTAACTCTTCTGTGGCCAAATTTACAGCAGCATCTGCTATTATGTTTGTATCTCCATATGACAATGGCATAGGAAGGGGAGAATCAGAGAAGACAGGATCAAACAACCTTTTTACACAATGCAGAGGATTAACCCCTTAGGTTCCACAGAGTATATGCTTTACTGCATGTACAGACTGATTTTACTGTTGTGGGTTTAGTAACACTTTAACATCAGCAGTTAGAGCAGTCTTGTGACTTCTAACAGTGTCCAGCAGAGCACATGGCTAAAGCTTGTAGGAGGAGATTTCATTCTCCTGTAGCAGGATGCAGGACTTCTGACCTCTGTCTGGAGAGTGCTGATCACATTTAGGGCTCAAGTACACTGCAGCTGATAAACTGACGTTTAGGAGCTGTTCAGCGTTTTTTTTTTTTCAGCAGCCCCTGAACTCTCCCTAATGTTTTCCTATGTGTCCATGTACACATCGTCCTTTACAGGCAGTTGAGTTTACAGTCATTTTTGAACGCAGAAAACTTGCGATCAGGAGTAGATCTTATCAGCGTTTCAAATGCCAAATGCATGTAAACACAGCCAAATGCGGCTAACCACATTTATAAGCGTTTGCGGTTGAAATTTTTTTTTTAACTCTTCCATTTCCAGATACTGTCCAGAGCCTTTTTTCATCATGAAAAATGCCTGCAAAGCGTTTTCCCGCTACTCGAATGGACCTGGTACACCATACTTTGAGGTTTTGCATGAAAGAAAATAATTTAGACACTGCTGCAATAATTTCTGCACAGAAATGAGCTGGAGCACATCCAAACACAGCTAATCTCAACAAATACTGCTCTCTCTATTTCTCTCAAAATGTCTAAACTAGTTATTTACTATTTTTCAGTGCATTCTGGGCATTTGGGAGGGTCTCCTGAGGTTATCTTTAAAAAACGCTTCTAAATGCAAACACTCATAAACGCGCATAAATGCGGTATGCAATTGCAGCTAAACAGACATTTTTTAACCTACGTTTTCCAGCAGTCATTTTCCATAGTTCAGAAGTGTCCCGTGTACATGGAGTCTAACTTTTAAAAAAAAAACAAAACCCAAACCCTCTAGCAATACACACCGATCTGAGCATGTGTAGCTTGCCCCCCCCCCCCCAGCCTCTGTTTTATCAGGAGATATTTGGGAGACACTGGAAGGAGGGGAGGATCAGAGAAGACAGGTTCTAACATCCTTTTTACACAATGCAGAGGATTAACCCCTTAGGTTCCACAGTAAGTATAACAAGCATGCTTTGCTGCATATACAGACTGATTTTACTGGTGTGGGTTTAGTAAAGGGATGAAGAGGGTGCAGTAAGGGGGTGCACAATCCAAAGTTTGTACTGGGCTCTGATCTGCAAAGTGATATGTCCTCTAGGATAGTGAAAACATTCATTGCTTTTATTTCAGATTCAGCTATTCAGGATTTTGTGCATTTTAAAGGGTGATGTTTTATTATCAAATACTAATTTTTATACCATCGCACCACACCCCCCTTAGCACGTGCATGTTATCATAGCATCTATGCGGAGGTTAGGTCGTGGGAGACTTTGATATAACTCTCAGCTGGTGGTTCCAAACCTCACTCCTCAAGTATCCTCAACAGGCTATACTTTGAGATAAAATAGCTATCATAAATACCAAGCCATTGACCTTGATTTAATGCGTCTGAGCAAGGTGAAGGAAATGCTGAAAACCTGATCTGCTGGGGGTACTTGCACACCAATGCCCCGTACACACAATGAGAATACTGGATGAAAAAAATCACTTTCGGAGGAATCTACGATAATCTGATCACTAGTACAAAGCTTTCAACTGCCGATCATGGCAGTTCATATGATAATATCTGAAGGGACAAGCGCAAAAATATTTCTTGTATGATAGCAGAGCAAACGATTTTCATTTAACCTCCTTAGCGGTATTCCCGAGTGTAGCTCGGCGTAAAATTTGAGTACCAAAAGCGGTAACCCCGAGCTACACTCGGGCTTACCATGCAGCGTTGCTCAGGGAGTCCCTGCAGCACTTACCTTGTCCTTCGCTCCCAAGATGTGTCCCCTGCAGCATCCCCGGCCATCTCCTCCGGCCGATGCCGGCATCCGGCTTCCGTGTTCCGGTCCCTGTGACGTCGGGACGTACGGGCGACGGAACCGGCGGCAAATTTGAAAGTTTTAAAAAATTTAATTTTTTTCAAAATCACTATTACATAGTAAAACATTGCTGTTTCAATGCATTTCACATATATTTTGTCCCTACTGCTTTGTCCTGCGCCCTGTCTGCATTTTGACTGTTCTTTCTGCCTGGAAACGTAGAAAAGTCTATGGCGTCCAAAAAGCGTCCCTTTACGTCAAAAGCGGTTTTAGACCAGCTAGAGAACAGCGATAGTAAATCAGAACCACTTGCAGAATTGAGTGATAATGATTCGTGGGGAAATTTGTCATCAGACACTGAAAACGATTTTGTGACTTTGCTCAGCAATGTGCGAATTTGCCTCTGTATTTGAAATTTCAGTGTTTTTGGTTTGATTATGTTATTGAATTAAATTTTTTTATTATTATTATATTATTATTTTTTTTATGATTATTTATTAAATTATAATTTATGATTTCGTGTTTCAAATTTTATCATATCCGGGATGTTTACTAGACTCTTGTTCGGACAGATTTCAGTGAGTTATTCCTAATAATTACAGCCTACAATAAAAAACGACATATTTCCATGCAAAAAAATGGTACCACTTTCAGCACAAAAAATCGGAAATAATCATACCGCCGAGGAGGTTAATCAGTACAGTATTCGTCTGTAAAAAATCAATAGACTAAGACCACGCATGCTTGAAAATAAAAGAATACATTACAATACAATACGTTACCTCACTTCTGTAGTTGTTTTCTGTCCTACGAGAATTTGTGCATAACTTAAGTAACCTCTTCGACCATTTGTCTGATATTCTCATGTACCAGGCATAAGTGTGTGTACCAGGCATAAGTTTGGGAACAACCAATTTTTTATTTTTAAAAAAAACAGGGTGTTTTATTGCAAAAGGAAAAACATTACAACAGATAGGCAATGTGAACATTTGACATGGTAGGTATAGTATAATACAGATAACATTAACAATATATATTGCACAACATCAAATATAGGACAAAGGGAAAGGAGAAGCAAAACTAACTGCATACAGACAGCTATCATGAAGAATCAGTCCAATATTGCTTCATTAGAAACAAATACAACACCTTCTGTGCTCAGGGACCCAAATCAGAAGAGGGGAGATGGAACAATATATGATAGGATATATGAAAGTTCGTCCAAAACTGATCAAAGGTTGAGCGGCTCTAACACGAAGCTGGGGAAGCTCGATACAAACTGTAGTGAAGAACAAAAACAAAGCGCACCAACCTTGCACATTACCTTAGTAAGCAATTGGTAAATTTATTAATTTAAGAAATATATTCACAAAAGTAGCAATATAGGATCCAAAATCGAAATACTGGATTAAGAGACACGTGCGAATCCCATCGAGAGGGGAGACTCTCAGGGTAAAGCTCACACGTTTCGAATGGGGGGGGTCCCTTCTTCTTCAGATCTACTGAGGAAGAAGGAAGGGAAGGGAGGGGGGAGCCAAGGGGAAAAAATGGGGGGGGGGGGGGGGAACAGAAGGAAGGAAAGGGAGAAGAGGGGGGGAGAGGAGAAAAGAAGCTACCAGAGGTCCTAAATGAGAACTCCTAGCAGAGGGGAACCACTGCTTTAAACAATGTTCTAAGATATTTATAGTGGAACTAGACCCATCGATTTAATGGTTTCAAACACCATCACATTCCCTACATGCTGGATATGCTGTCACACTTGCTTGTGCTCTCAACCAAACTGTCAAACCATCAAATTGCTGGTGTCATTGCTGATCACATGTGTAGCACCATGGCAGTCAGAGATCAAACAGAGGCTAAGATGGCAGCTTCCTTGGCTGAAAAGGATAGGAGGGTTTAGTTCCACTTGTCACAACTTACTTTCCCACCTGACCTTCCCTAGTAACATACAGACAGTATGGTGGACTTCCTGCATCCAAAATACTCCTTATCCATGATCCTTTTGGGTTTACTAGCAAGTTATAGCCAATCTGTACAAAATAATTTAAAACTAAGTCTCCAATGCGAATTTTGCTGCAAAAGCTGTTAGTGCAGCTGCACCGGGAACACTCAGATTGGGGTCAGAGCTGTGAGTAAGACCTCAATGCTATGCGCTTAGAGCAACATAAAGAATATACAATTGTACCAAAAAGTTCCTTTTCAGTTTTTAATGTGCTTGAAAACCTCAAAGATTAAAGCTGATCTGTTGCTTTGAGTTGTTTCAGCAGTCATGTTCATGCTGAGAACAGTTGTTATCATGTCCAGATATGGGAAGCCAGTTTGTGGAAGAAAAGAGGCTGTGGAACAGGCTCTAAATGACTGTAGAATGGCCAAGCCCTATGCCTTCATGTTGCACTTGCATTGAAAGCACATTAGTTGGTATAACTGTATTAGTTTTCTTTTTTCACAATTTACTTTCCTTTATTTTCACCTGGTAAACCTGTCAGTAATACCTTTCCCGTCCTCACTTCCCGTACTGCATCCAGTGCCAGGACAAGGTCATCCAGTGCCCAGGGCAACGATTCCAAACCCCCCCCCATTCATGATGTGCAAGCTTAGGGGATCCTACACCCAGCAGTCACTTGCGTGTCAAAAATCACTGCCACTGTCACTATTTCTGTTAGCCTTGTAGCAGAAGGAAGGTGCCCCATCCCTACAGTAAACCGCTGCATCCAGGGCAGCCGCCTCTCCTGCCCACCCCTTGTCCTGTCCGGACTGGATCCATGGAGGACCAGCATAGTCTCCTTAGGTTGCTCTCCTGATTTAGACTACAAACACCTTTCCCTCTCCTCACCTCCATAAGACAGGAGTGAAGTATTCTGTGGTCCAAAGAACAGAACTGTTTGAAGCTGATGACATTGTTTGAGAAAAGTTGTCTGATCATCTTGGTTGAGGAAGTTGCAGAGACACAGGATTTCTGGAGGGACCTACAGGTATTTTTCCATACCTGCAAAAAATGTCCAAAAATATAAAACAAACACATCAACCACAACTGAATATTGGTAGCTAAAAAATGTAACAATTTTGGTCTTTAGTTTAGATATACTCTAACTAATACATACAGTGAGTAATTCAACTTTATATCTTTTCACCAGTGTAATTCTGTAGTATTATTGCTGCATCAAATCAAAAGCAGTAGCATCCCTAGGCAGGTGCGGGGGGTGCGTGCCGCCCCGGGTGACACCTATTGCACGTGGTGACACCGGACCCGCTCCACGAAAAGGTAAGTTTTAAAGCAAGCCGACGATCACCGCAGGATGGATTGGATCTGCAGATTGAGAATAATGGATCAGAGTCTGATCCATTATGCTCCCCAATCCGCAGATCCGATCCATCTTGTGGGGATCGTCAACTTGCTTCAAAACCTTATTTTTTTTTTGGAGCGGGTCTGGTGTCATCCCCACAGGATGGATTGGATCTGCGGATTGAGCATAATGGATCGGAGTCTGATCCATTATGCTCAATCCGCAGATCCAATCCATCCTGCTGGGATTTTTTCGGAGGGGTGACACCAAGTGTTACTGCACCAGGTGACACCAACCCTAGGGACGCCCCTGATCAAATGTATCTATAAAAGTAGGTGACACCTGTGTCACACCTGTGTCCTATTTTCATGCTTGTGTTACATAGAGTATACTATATATGAACTGATAGCTCTTGGTATTTTAATTAGGCAGTAGATGATGCAACATAAATGGCAGGACTTAAAAAAACAAAAAAACCTTGAGAAGCTGTTGAAAAATAATATGATCTCTATGGGAAACTGAATGCATTATTATTTTCATATCAGCAAAGTTAGAAATCCAGATTAAATCAGAGCAGAATAAAGTAATAAACTTTACAGAAAGTTTTTTTCTTACTCAGCACTTTTGTAACTATATCTATTTGCAGGAAGGCAAATGTTTGAACATCATATACACCAGTCTCTGCAATACATGATGCAAACAACAAAACCCTGTGTGTGCTGTATAATGGTAATGCTTAATGGTACATTGACCATTCCTTATGTACAGTACAGGGGCGGACTGACACCTCATGGGGTCCCCGGGCAATAGGGGATCATGGGGCCCCTGTGTCCTTGCCCAAACTCAAAAAAGCGTATGAAAAAGGTACCAGGGGCATCTCATGGGGCCCCCTACTGACCCCGGGCCCTCGGGCAGTGCCCGAGTTTCCAAATGGTCAGTCCGCCCCTGGTACAGTATTTCTTGAGCACATCAGCTGATATATTGGCTAATCCCTCTGATAAATAACTTAAGCATGTCAACTGGTATTTAAGATACCAAAATCCATTTATATTTAAGATAATTCCTCTAGTACTTAAAGTGTTACTAAACCCAGGACCCTGCATTCACTATAACTGGTCTCCTACAGAACACAGAAATGCAATTATTTAGTATATATAAACTGCTAAATACCTTTTCTCATCAGCAGTTAGAGATGTCTTGTGACCAGGGGCGGACTGACAACTCATGGGGCCCCCGGGCAATAGGGGATCATGGGGCCCCTGTGTCCTTGCCCAAACTCAAAAAAAGCCTATGAAAAAGGTACCAGGGGCATCTCATGGGGCCCCCTAGGGACCCCAGGCCCTCGAGCAGTGCCCGAGTTTCCAAATGGTCAGTCCGCCCCTGCTTGTGACCTCTGTCAGTGTCCAGCAGAGCGCTTGTTAAAGCTTGTAGGAGGAGTTTCCTTTCTGCTCTAGGAGGATGCAGAACCCCTGACCTCTGTCTAGACAGTGCTGATTGGCCCTGTGCTGATTACATGCTAAGTTTGCTTATAGAGCAGATATCTGCCAATGGCCACATTTGTTTCTAAAGAGTCTTGAACTTAGAACAAGTTTTTCTGTTTTTAGGAGTATGCTAGCTTGCTAAACCTTGTCTCTTGAGCAGGGCTGAGTCAAGCAATTTATACAAAATAGATTTTTGCCACTTGTAAAATTTTGGCATAGCCGACACAGTTTTGCTCATTGAGCTGCTTAGGGGAAATTTAATTGAAAAAAATCTGTGTGCATCTTTGTATTTGCGTATTTTTTGTGTGTATGTGATTTCTATATGTATATATCATTTTTTTTGTATTTAACTTTTTTCACTGTCTGTGTTTTTTCTTTCTTTTGTGAAAAAAACAACAAGAGCCCATGAGAGTTCATTTTTGTGGTTAAGAACAGCTGTGGGATTTTAAACAATTTAAGGCCTGTTGCACCCATAAAACCCCCTTAAAATAGAAGTAGGGCTTTTTTTCCCCATTTATACTTACCTAGGTGGATGCAGCATCGGTCCAATGCTGCATCTGTCCCCCGCTAGCTCTAAATGTGAAAAATCAGTGATCACATGACCACTGATTGCTGAGTTCTCACATCCACTCTGAACAGAGAGTGGTGACTGCCAGTCACCAATGTCTGCTCTGCCCCCGCCAGGGGATGGGACAGGCAGGAGTGGCTGGCTCAGACTCTCAGCTGCTCACTGAGCCAGGTGCTGCTCCAGACTCTGGGGTGGATCCTGACTCTAAAGTCGGGATTTTTCTCCAGCCTGGACTGGCTGAGTGACGTCAGCCAACAGTGGATTTCAGCCCGCTGTCAACTGAGAATGGGTCATACTCCTGAGATCCACAGAAGAACAGCCAGAAGATGTTTGTCTGTACTTCTCCGTTAGGTTTGCCTTCCTCAATTCAAATGCATTTTGCCAAAATGGCAACATTTTGCTGAAATATCATGATTTTTGTTGAAATTTGGTGGAGGTGAAAAATCTAAATTTTTCTCAAGCCTACTCCTGACTTCACAGCCCTACTCTCCTGCCACATCATCTATGACAAGATTTCATGACCCATGCTAATCTTTAATTTAATATAATGCAAAAAAAAGGACTCCATAGTCTGCTATAGGTTTGGATTGAGCAATGAACACTTAAAAAAATAAAGTATACCAGTGTACAACCAAAAGTGGAATTTTAACTGGACTGATTCCTTGAAGAAGATAAAGAGCTGCTCTATTCAAAACAGGTATTTCATCTTTGGGTAGGTTAGTTAAATCACCTGATTGCTTCTTAGATCTGAAAAATATCACTGGTGAGAGTTCCCTGCAGAGGTTTGTGTATCTACCCAGCCCCACAAGGCATTAACAAAGATATCATTCTCTCACAGCTTGGCTTCCTAGTTTTCTGTTTATTCTACAATATGGGAATTCCAATTAGGGGGAGGAAGTAACACAAGTATAGGCCATTGTAATGGCTTTGGCTATGGAGCTGGGATTTCAAGCAGGGATATCTCATTACTGGAGTCCCTGAGAGATACTGTATTAGAAAGCCAACATGCAGTATGTGCATCCAGCTGCTTGCCTAGAGAAGGCGCCACTGTGCTGCAGCTGCTTCGTTTGCTTAAACAAGACTTTCAGTGCCATTCAGAAGCTATCCAGCAGAGGGAGCAGGGGGCATGAAGAAATTTGATGCAGGCTGCACTGAACTCTGGGAAGTGTAGTCTGGGAAAAAGGATCTTGCATAGGAGTAGATGGAGTGATGGACTACATCTCCCAGATACAGTTGTGTTCAAAATAATAGCAGTCAGACATCACTAACCTGATCAATCACTGTTTTTAGAAGAAATTATATTTCTACATGGCAAATAATTTACTAGCAGGTATAGTAGAGTAATAGAAATCCAACAGACCCAACAGTCATGACATGCATGCTGCTGATTCTGTGTCATTGAATCACTAATTGAAAGGGGCATGTTCAAAATAATAGCAGTGTGGAGTTTTATTAGTGAGGTCATTCATTCTTTGAAAAACAGGTGGCAATTATTGCCCTTATTTAAGGAAGGAAGGCAGCAAATGTTGTACATGCTGGTTGCAGTGCATTTCTCTCTGAAATTCTGAGGAAAATGGATCGTTCCAGACATTGTTCAGAAGAACAGCGTACCTTGATTAAAAAGTTGATTGGAGAGGGGAAAACATATAAAGAAGTGCAGAAAATGATAGGCTGCTCAGCTAAAATGATCGCCAATGCTTTAAAATGGCAACCAAAACCTGAAAGACGTGGAAGAAAGCTAAAAACTACCATTCGAATGGATAGAAGAATAGCCAAAATGGCAAGGACTCAGCCAACAATCAGCTCCAGGAAGATCAAAGAAGGTGTAAAGTTACCTGTGAGTACTGTTACAATTACAAAACGCCTATGTGAAGCCAAGCTATCTGCAAGAAGCCCCCGCAAAGTCCCACTGTTGAAAAAAAGACCTGTGCTGAAGAGGTTACAATTTGCCAAAGAGCACATTGACTGGCCTAAAGAGAAATGGCGCAACATTTTGTGGACTGATGAAAGTAAGATTGTTCTTTTTGGGTCTAGTGGCCGGAGACAGTTTGTCAGACAACCCCCAAACACTGAATTCAAGCCACAGTACACTGTGAAGACAGTGAAGCATGGTGGTGCAAGCATCATGATATGGGGATGTTTCTCATACTACGGTGTTGGGCCTATTTATCGCATACCAGGGATCATGGATCAGTTTGAATACATCAGAATACTTGAAGAGGTCATGCTGTCTTATGTTGAAGAGGAAATGCCCTTGAAATGGGTGTTCCAACAAGACAAAGACCCCAAACACACCAGTAAATGTGCAGCATCTTGGTTCCAGACCAACAAGATTGACGTTATGGAGTGGCCAGCCCAATCCCCGGATCTTAATCCAATAAAAAACTTGTGGGGTGACATCAAAAATGCAGTTTCTGAGGCAAAACCAAGAAATAGAGAAAAACTGTGGAATGTAGTCCAATCATCCTGGGCTGGAATACCTGTTCACAGGTGCCAGAAGTTGGTTGACTCCATGCAACACAGATGTACAGCAGTTCTCAGAAACAGTGCTTATACAACGAAATATTAATTGATTCAAAGGAAAGCAAAATCTTCAAACATTTTTCAGTTTATATAGTGAATGTTTGAGTTTGTAAAGAAGAATACAAACACTGCTATTTTTTTGAACAGTCTAATATTCACTTTTCTTCAATTTTTTTTTAGAGGAACAACACAAATTTGATATCGTTTTCTTCATGTTTTGATTTGGAATAGAATGTGTAGTGTTCCCAATGCATTTGTGTGTATGGAAATAAAAGCTATTAGAAGGATTTTGAGCTTTATTCACTTTTTTCAACACACTGCTATTATTTTGAACACAACTGTATATACTCTTAACAAAAGGGAAAAGAGCAGTTTTTCTCCTGGACTTTACAGAGTGTGCTGCGGACTGGAGTTGTTCCTGGCAGATCCAGATTTGAGCTGACATCTGAACAGTAGGACCAAAGTTTCTGTATCACTGGGACTGGTGAGAGGGCATTGCGGCCATTGATCAGTCACTGCTGGCAGAGACTGAGTACATAGAGACTGGCCATCTAACTAACAGCCTTATTCGCTGCATGCAGACTTTGAGACTGTACATACAGTATATGCACCACTGTAAAGACTGGGCCCCAACATTAGCCAACAGAAAAACTAGTGCTAAGGACTGTTCACTTAGATAGCTGCTTCACAAGTACTTTTCCCATTGTTTATAGTAAGAGGTACCTCTTTAAGGAGCATTATATTTCATGGTAGCCATTCATACAGCGGTACTATAAAGCAGTTATAGCCTGCTGGTGACTGAGGAATTATATTTGTATTCATCACCATTGTTGTTACTGCTTACAAATGCAACTGCTTATTGCTGATTTTGTGGGTTACTAAGTATATATTAACGTAGTTGTACAGAGCTCTACCCTAAGCTACTATAATGTAGCGATTACATTGTCTAGCGATCTGTGATTGAACTAATTCTCCATTTGCTCATTTAAGCATATACTGCCATTTACTTTACTCCATGACAATATATTGAGTTTCTTTACTGCTAACCACTTTGGTGTTTGATTTCTGATACTGAAACATAGTTGTGTGCAGGATATTTATATTCATGCTCCCAATAGTATTGCAGTATTTACTTGCTTAACTGACCATTTGTCAGAGTGGCCAGGGTTGTTCACAGAGTCCAAGCAAAAGAACAGAGTATCCAATCTACCAAGCATGTCCTGTGGGGGTAGCGCTACATATAATTCAACTTTCTGGCATCCATACCACACTAAAATAGTTTTTAGATAGAGCTTTTCTTGCTTGCTGCAGGAACGCAAGATACAATGTGTATGTTACTGCATGTTCCCAAAATGCACTGCAATCTACCTGGTCTATGTGCAATGCATTGCAGTGCCACTCGTTGTAAATGGTACCCTAACACTGTGTACTAGGGTACATAGTACCAGAGCATACCATAATGCACATAACATGCATTGTGGTGCACTGAGGGTCATACACATTTTTTAAACATTGTTGTGCATTGGCAGCCTATTCATAATGAATGGGCTGCCTTAATACAACGGTCATTAATGTACCACAATGGGCCACTAAAGTGTGAATCAACCGCTATTGAAACCAACTTGCAGTTGGTATATTTAATGGTTCTTTAGGAAACTTTGAGAAAAGTTAAGATTTTTTTTTTTACTGTAATATAATGAAGGCAAACAGTTTACATTG